AAACCTAAAAAACCCATGGAAGAATGCAACAAAGTTATCTAGCAGAGCACTTCAGAGCTGGAGGGCACTTGGCTGAGAAAGGGATCGCAGTCCGCATCCTCGGTAGAAGGGAAGTGGGTGATGTCAGTGTAGGAAGGTCAGAAGCCAAAGGAAATAACGGAAATGAGACAATAAGAGTTTTTAATGGAGTTGTAGCTTTTGGGCTGGAAAGCCAAAGGTAGGTTTTCTGCTACATTAGAGAAAAACTGGCAGACTTTGGTTGGGTATGTAGTGGATGGAGGGAATAAGCAAACCCTGTGCATGTACTATGCTCAGAATGGGGGAGGCAGCCATAGGAGGTGCTGTGCAAAGCACAGGAAAAACTAGCAAGGTTTTCCCTTCTAGGAGATGCTCCTCACTATCGAAGACCATTATCATCACACTGCAGTCTTTTTATGGTGACTGCACCAAATGCCTGTCTCGCTTTGATGCTGTTGAGAGAAGGCATTTTCCTATGAGGCGAAGACACAGAGCCCAAGTTCTTGGGTGTTCTCTTCACGTTTAATGCCTCTTGTTCACAGAAATATGTCACGAAGAGCCAGCCTCCTTGGTTCTGACTGGCACTGTGTTCACAGCAATTTAACTTTCCTGCTCTGCTTTTCTGTGCTGAGGCAGACAGTTCAGGAGTGATGCTAATAGAGTCAGTCTGAAGCATTCAGATAAATTTAGTCCGAAGGAGCAAGTCAGGCCTACTGGGTAAATAGTAATGATCTTGTGAGCTTCAAGGACTTAGATCTACGGTGTGCGAATCTCACGTTAACAGCTTGCTTCCATTCAACTCAATCCTGCTCGAAAGTTAGCTGGGGTGTTAAATAGGTCAGCTACAGATTCCTGTTGGTCTGTAATCTGTCTGCTGCTTCAGGTTATTTATCCAATTCCTAATGAGATGGTCTTGGACTCTTTGAGGCCAGGAAAAAGTTGTTAACACTGGCTTGGTGTTAAGACACCTCTGGTGCTAAAACTGAACAGAGGGGAAACCTTGCTCATTACGCGAGTTCAGATCAGTTAAAACTGACGGGTGTGGTAATAGTTTGTAAAAATGACAGTTCCCAGCATGTAAGCCCTTATCATGGGAAAAGATTTTTAAAACCAAACAAACAAAAAACCCCAGCTGCTTGTCTTCATCACCGAGTTGTGCGATAAGGTGTAACTGGCAGCTTGGACCTGGTTGCTGTGGTTGGGATTCATGTCAGTGCTTGATCCAGCTTCAGCTCCATCGTGATGTTTGTGCCTGGGAGCCTTACGATGCTCATATGCGATAGTTCAAAGTCAATGGCTGGTAGGTTCTTACTCGGATAGTCAAAGGACAGGTTTCTACAGCATCCACCTTCGATGTCAAGCAGTGCTTGAGATGTGCAGGATGAACAATGATTGCTTTGCTTGGCTCAGCCATCCTCAGCTCCCCTTGGTGTGCAGTAGTAATGGAGATAATAGTAATTAGAAATAATACACAGAATTAGTACAGCATTTCAGAACACTTAAACAGTCACAGCCTTCCTGTAGAATCGGAAAGTCTCCTCAAACCCCTCTATAAAAAGGGGATAATTGGGCACAAAGCTGTAATAAGTGGTTTTCTTGGGGTTGTATGGACTTTGTGCACGTGTTCTTGAAAAATCCACATCCTGGTGGTGGAGCAAACCCTGACGAAGTGCTGCATGGCTTTACCTTCTGTTGGCAGGGCATGGGCCAGGAAAAGCACACCAATCCCTTTACTGCAGGGTTGTCAAAAGTCCCGGCTGAAGTGACAGGTGAAATCAGAGGGATGTACAAACATTCTGCTCTTCTTACACCACTGGTGCGGGTGCCTATATATGGGTGCAGCTGACCTACTTCAGACAGGTTGTACATCTTGGCCTTAGTCCTGGAAATGGGATTAACACACCTTGCCTATGTCCACACCAACCAGTCAAATGATCTTAAGATTTTCATTACGCTGTCCCTATTTTTAAATATACATTGGTCAGAGCCACATCTGGTACAAAAAAATGGCCCAATGCCTGTGACAGCAGAGGAGCTACAGTAATTTACACAGGAGGAAATTTTGGCTCGTGTTCAGCTGACAGACTTGTGTGGGGATGGGGCCAAAGAGGCCTGGTAGCAGAGTAAGGATATTTCTAATGTGCTAAGACATCCAGATGATTTTGCTCATCACTCTGGTACCTGAATACTGACAAAACAAGGCACTTGGGCTCTGGGTCTGTTCTCTTCACTATTTGGTAGGGTCCCCTCTGCCTTTTTTGTAATGAGTGTGCTGCTGTGAAAGTCACATCTATTAAATGCTAAATGTAAGGGAGATTTAATGACATGCTATTAAAAAGTTCCACCTACCTAAAAATGCTTTGCTTTCCAGCCCAGGTTTGCTAATATATTCCATATTTCACAGATCTCTTCATGAAGAGAATGCTGTCAGGAGCCATTTACAGCTCTGATCCTGCTTTTGTTGTCTTTTACGAGTGCCAGATTCCCCGTCACTGCAGAGCCAGCCACTCTGCCACAGAGTTTATGCTGTGGATGTCTCCCATGGGTGCATTAGTTACTTAGGGCTTGGGAAGGTACCTCCTGACTGGTTCCGTACAGCACAGTTTAACGGAGCTATAAACATAGTATATGATTTCCTTTTCTTGGTCTCATTTTTCCTCATACCTTTTCTTCTTGGAATATATCTAGCAAATGTAAAAGTTCTGTGTTGCTATTGCAAATAGGGCTGTTTGCTTAACGTGGCTTTGTCCAGGGTAGAATAAATACCTGTGGCCTTCTGAAGAGCACTGAATTGATTGTGCATACTACCTGCATTTACCAGTAATGTTCACGTGCAATGTGTGCATGAGAGAACTGCAAGGACTACTCTAAAGAGTGATTTGCACACTGAAAAGAAATAGAAAGTCATGTTGCATCTTCCTGTGGGAACATACAGACAAAGGTAAGTTTCCTCTTTGGAAGCTACCTTTTTTTTTTTTTTTTCTGTGAAGGCAGCAGCTGTGGGAGGTTGAGCACAGGCAGTGGTCACCAGACTCTGGATTGCAGATGGGTGCGGGAGCTCTCTCCTGTAAATGCCACTGCCCCTCTACTGCTCCCCAATCCAGAGCACAGCACTTACTTTTTGGTTTGCAGCTCCCCAGCAAAGGATTCCCTTGACTCATGTGTACCTGGAAAACTTAAGAAGGTGCAGACCTGCTCCCTGGCTCTGTTTTCTAGACATGGCCATTCCAAATGGGTGTCTGTCTTGTTGAACTGAACAAGAGAGTGCTGTGGGGCGAGTCTGTCACTCCTTTTGTCCTGCTGCTGGGGTGCGCAGTGACCACTGTTTCCACACAAAGTACCTGAATAGAAGTGGCCACGACAAACTTTACACAGATTAGACTGAAAATCTTGAAACTAATAGGATAGCACCGAGGGCAGACTTAGGGTGCCTAGCTAGCAGGCATGCAAAGTGCACAGGCGAACAAAGAAGGACTAAGCTCCTTTTCCTTTTTTCTTTTATCTAACGTGCAGCTACGTTGACAGCTGCAGCTAATGACTTCTGAAGGGATCTCCTCTCCTGGCTCCCTTTTTGCTCTTCCAATCTATCTATGTATTTTCCATGAGAGCTGTTCCAGGGTCTGAATTAAAACCTCCCTAGTCATTACTTTTCCTTTTGGTCTGCAGACACCCTGCAAACAGTGGTTCAGGCAGCAGCCTGAAGCACTTAGGTTTCAGAGAAAGCCAACTGTAGCAATCTATTTTTAAAAGGTTATTTTGATGAATTGGATTTTATGACCTGATTTGAACTGGACTTGGGCACCCATGTGTTGTGCTGTCACAGCCTGAACCCACAGGAGCGTGCGTCAGTTTGCTGTTTTGCCAATGCAATCCTATTTCCTTTCTGTATCAGACAGCAACAAATTGTTCTCTCCATCCTCTAGTCCTGCTTGTCCTATGTGTTGATAGTGGAGAGTTGCAGATCTTTTGCTGGGGAAAGCAAAACTCTCTCATACTACAGTTTCTTGGCTGTCCTGTTTCCCTTCAAGCAGTGGGAGTCTGGAGTTAGGGCTGTCATCTTTTATGAAACGCTGTTACGTTTTTTATTTTTACTTTATCTGTCAAAAAAAAAAATTAAAATAATTCCATGACCAAAGAGTTAAGGCAGGAGTTTGCATAAGTTTCACCCTTAACCTTGCTACAGAGTTATGGATATAGGTACTATGTAAGACCTTAAAACACCAGAGATATGAACACCCACATCTCTCAGCTACAGTAAACGAAACTGGAACAACCTTGGTCCAGAAAGCTATGGGTTGTTGCAGCATCAGTCCCTGATGCCACATCTGGAAATACCCTTCCACAGCTCCTCTTAACATCAGTGGCAGAGGAGCTTTAGAGCTGGACTTTGGCGGGCACCAGTCTGGGCTTATAGGAGGCGTTCAGCATGTAGGAGTGAATATAAATCTTGTATTCAGTCTCTTGAAACCATCTCAATATTTCTATTGTGCAATTCTAAACAAGATTTCCATTATACTGAAGTAACTTGAGTTTATTCTCAGTCCAGAAACAAATGGGAAAGCTGTAATGGATTGCTTTGGGTAAGGTATTCATGCTCAAGAAAACTGTTTTTTACACACTGATAGGTGTGTAATAGAATGTGTTGGTTTGGAAGTTTAGGACTTGTCGTGGAGGTGTTTATCGTGCTGTAGTCCTGCTGTAACTCTGCTGATAAATGGGGTTTTCAGATAGAAATCCTCCACGGATGAGTAGGTGCTGTTGACACCCCTCCATTTGAGCCACTAAGAGGCACTTGGACATTAGAGCTGTCCTTTTTTTAAGTTAAAATTTGAGGTTCACAGTTTTGAAGCTGTTGGTGCAACTGAGGAATCCCCTGAGCAATTCCTGGAAAGGAAGGCTGAATTCTTGGATTCCTAATATCCTGGCTTGATTCTTCTTGGGA